CTTTCAAACTTTTTGTAGCGATTAACAGCTTACACGCCCAGTGCTCCTTCCCTGAAATTCATCCCGATGGCTGAAATCCTTTCAATGCAACACTACAAGCACACAAAGGCGGGGCCCCATACTACTGCAATGCAACGGTCCTTACCCACGACACTTCTACAGGCTCAAGTGTTCATTACTAATCAATCCCATTTTGGGATCCAGCTAGCCAGGCGATAAGATGGACTTCAAGAATATTTCAGTTATCTTCAGTGGGTCTTTCCAACACCCATCGTTTTTGTTGTTGTAGTGCTGCTTCCCAAGACTAGGAGATAATGTGGTTCATCCCTAGCAGCATAGAATGATTTTCATAAGTAAATAATTGATTTACCGAAGCGATTCACGTACCCGGATCTATTTCAATACCTGTTTAATAGACTATCAAGAAAATTGTTTTCGTTACTTACAATAGCACTGGTTTCCCCATCAGCGGTGGCCATGGCCAGAGCGAAAAACGTAGAGTATCGCTCGCTCAGTAGTACACGTCGCTCTTCAGCAGTACTGAAGGAAAGTAGTACTGACTGACTCACAGCGAACATTGCCGCCATGAATAAACCATCTAAAGAAAAGCCAGGAGTTATTGTAGTCATCTTTGCACGTCCTTTACGTGACCCTGCAATTTCAATTAGTCTGGTAATGAAGGGCTATTAGAGGAATAGTTTTTGGAGGAACCTCGTAGTTTGTCTCTTCGAAAAGCAGATCGTTGTAGTAGGGTTGAAGCCGCAGACCGAGGGCCACGTTCGCCCTGCACGGCTGAAAGGAGATTATGGCTCAAAATCATCTTTTCAACTACGAAATTCTAAATGAAGCAACCTTTTGAGTTCATGTTCAGTCGAAAGCACTTTGCAAGCCGACATGATGGACACCAATTTCGACGGGCTTTATCAATCACACAGTCATTTTGTCCAGCTGAAAAGCAAGGAAAATTTTGTGTTCAGTTCGGTGGAGCTAACTTCCAAAATAAGGAATGCTTGACCACTGCAGAGTGTTGTATACGTCAAATATGTGGGCCCGCTCTAAAACACAATTCACTTAAGAAATGGTTTCTGAGATATCATCTTGGATGAGCCTATTACCTCCAAGAATAGCACAGGGGCTGCTGTCGGCCTACGTAGGGTCTAACAAGGGCCACAAAACCGACTTATTGTTAGTCGACGTATGTACAAACCCAAGGCAGAAAGTTCTCACGGCGTTGGAGAGTCTGTAGAGGTTCCACCAATCGCATCGGGACCTACACGTTGCATGCATGCAGCTTACTGTAACCAGCTGTACGCTGCGGCACACTGCTTTGGAAAGCTCGTCTTAATAACCGTTCCATTTCACTTTGGCCGTCACACTCCCGTCTGAACCCTAAATTTACTACTCTTTAAAACACTACATTCTATAATTACGCCGATTTTTTCGTTTCCTTCGCCTTCTTTGCACTATACTGAACTATTACTACACTACCCGTCTTAAATAAGGCAGCCCAAAATATTCATGGACCCTGTCTTTAAATGTACATGGACGGAATGCGCGGGCTCATCACCAAAACGACTGGATGATGCTGAACGAATTACTATTTCCTTAATTTCAAAGTACAGTGAAAAGGACTGATGGGCAGCTTCAATGGAAGTGAAAGACTAACAGATACAGGTGTAGAGAATGCTTTTTCGAATGCTCCGCTTGAAAAAGCAGCTGCAACCATCGCACGTCCACTGACCGTAGTGTCGCCCGTACGAGCGATCTCCGCATACCTGACACGGTACGGTTGCCACAGAATTCCTTCCTGAAGTAAAGGAAAATCTAAAATGATGATATGAAAATCCCTTGAGAGTTGCTCATTCGCAAAAAAGACGTAATTCTTACAAAATGTGAAGGATCAAGGATAGAGCCACCTGCCTGGATAAGTCCCGTCTTTGGGATGCACCCTCGCCTTCAAGTCCCATCCAAAATCATTGTAGCCGTTTGAACTCGTATGTAGCCAATACTTGCGGTGACCACCCTTTGCAGCACTCAGCGTTTTCACCCTCCCAGACAAGCCTGTTTCCAACTAACCGACCCAGGAGGGATGGAGGCTCGCTTGGTTTGGCCGAATATCGGCTCGGGACTCAAGTCCTGGACCATGCTTGTGTGGTAGTGCCCAACTTGCCATTACACCATTTTGCCCTCTTACAAGTTACAGGTAAGCTGAATTAGAACTCTGAATAGCGGTGGAATTTGAAGGGGTGAACTCAGTTTACTGGTATGAATGGCTTCTGCAGTATCTTTACCCGTCATGCTATTCTTGCCTGCTAGAGACATTATGTCTGAAGACTAACAGCAGTGAAGACTAACAGTAGTCAGGGGGAATCAACTAACGAATTTTGCTTTGTCTGTCACACTTTATCCCGTGACTACAGCCACATTTGAATTCTCTATGTTTCTTTTACTAAATTAAACATAGCAAAGATAATTGAGCCCTTACTAAATCCTTCAGCGAATGAACTCAACTCCCATTACTAAACTGAACGGTGAACCAATAAAATCACTTACCCATTAGCCTAACATAAGGAATGACGTTTTGACGTTTGCTATAGAGTCTGGTGGACTTCCAATTACGATGGTCGACATTATATACCCTATGTCTGTGTAACCTAAGAAGGCGCCAATTTTCCACTGCAGGTACGCTGATTTTCTCGACTCATGTGCCAAGTAAACATTGTCGTAACAGCTGGAAAAAGGCAACCCTTTAGGCCCTTATTCTGAGGTACGGTACGACAATGGGTCTTCGAACGGATTGCTGCCTCCTTTAGGCCCTTATTCTGAGGTACGGTACGACAATGGGTCTTCGAACGG